ACACATGTACCACAAGTATATTTAGTTTCCACATGTTTTCCTGAGATATTAGTTATCATAAATTTAAGGCTTGGCCGAGCATGGTGGCTCACGCCTGTAATCCCAGCACTTTGGTAGGCCAAGGAGGGTGGATCACCTGAGGTCAGGAGTTCAAGGCCAGCCTGGCCAACATGGTGAAACCCCATCTCTACTAAAAATATAAAATTAGCCAGGCATGGTGGTGGTGCCTGTAATCCCAGTTACTCAGGAGGCTGAGACAGAAGAATTGCTTGAACCCAGGAAGCAGAGGTTGCAGTGAGTCAAGATTGTGCCACTGCACTCTAGCCTGGGCAACAGACTGAGACTCCGTCTCAAAGGAAAAAAAAAAAAAAAATTAAGGCCTAAAGTCTCTGCTGTTCACTATGTATCAATTCTTTATACTCCAGTCATAAATAAGAAATTGGGTGTAAACAGTTATAGTGGTTCATATAGTGCCTGATACACAAAGGGCATTGATAAATCAATTTAAGTTGTTACATTTTATAAATGTACTACTTAGTAAAATTTAAGACTCCCACTTTTATTTTAAGTAAAACACTTAAATAACTCTTAGAGATGTTCTTCTGGCCAAGTGCGGGGGCTCACTCCTGTAATCCCAGTGCTTTGGGAGGCCGAGGCAGGCACATCACTTGAGATCAGGATTTCGAGACCAGCCTGGCCAATGTGATGAAACCCCATCTCTACTAAAAATACAAAAAATTAGGCATGGTGGTGTGCGCCTGTAATCCCAACTACTAGGGAGACTGAGGCACGAGAATCACTTGAACCTGGGAGGCAGAGGTTGCAGTGGAGCTGAGATCACACCACTGCACTCCAGCCTGGGAGACAGAGCAAGACTCTATCTCAAAAAAAAAAAAATATTATTGTATTTTCTAGTTAAATTATGTTATCTGTTTAATAGCATATTTTTAAATATTTTCTCACAGACTTACATGTAAAAGTCAACAAACAGACCCTTGCCACTTGTGTGAAGTGGCTATTTAACCATGAAATAAACTCTTTTTATTGCCATTGCCCTGTGGGTATGTTCTTTCTGGCAGTGCTGTCCATATTTGGTGGCTATGCATGGAGAGCCAGGTGGTGCTGAAAAGCATCGCACAGTGAAGCGTGGATATATCTAGGTTTGACATTTGTCATCCCTTACCGCTGAAGGGAGGGGGAAAAATCTGTTTTTCCATATGTTTATGCTTTATTTTGCCTGCAGTTTTGTCCAGATGGTCTTATGAACATTGTTTACTTTGGGATTCCATCCCAGATGTTTTGAAAACTGTTGGATAAATGTGGCACACAGATACATAAATCATTTGCATATTATGGTTTTTAAAATGTTATGTGTCTTTGCAAGATTAAAATATAATTTATTTCCAGGAGTATTTTCCCAAGTGAATAATGTGTCTGTGTATATATGTATTTTTTAATGTTTTTTAAAACAGGCCCAATGGGTGTCATGTGTATATATATTTCATAAATATATAAAACATATGTAGTTATTATCTGTAGGTTATTTCTTCCAGACATTCTGTTTTCATGTTAATAAGCTAAAAAAATATTGTGGCAACACTTATTAAGAATGTTAAGTCTGTTTCATGTTTTGGAAGAAGCCAAAAAAAAAGTTAAAGAAGATATTTTTAAGGAGTCATATTTGTTTAGGGTTGCATATACCCAAATCTGTAAGAATCTTGTCCTACTGTCTTTTATAATTCTTCTCATTGTACATAAATCACTGAAGAGAATTTAGGTGATAAAATGACAATGAATTTATAATCAGAAGATTATCATTGTGACCTTGGGCAAATCACTTAACCTGTTGGAGACTGAGTTTTCTAAATGTAAAATCAGAGTTCACAGCCTGAAAAAATTGAGTAATGCTTGGATTTAATTTCTCTTCCATCTTAAATCTCTCAGAAATCACTATGAAACCACCTATTGACAACAGCAATAATGCGAGTCTGAACCCTTCCTATTCTAGGTTCTATGTACAGGCTCAGATGTAAACAAGAGGCAGACTGTTCTGTCTGGAAACCCAGCCAGCATCCATATCAGGGTTCCTCTTGTTTGTGTAGTGCTTCTTAAGTACTGACTGGCTATTTTCATTTGCTTTTATATTCATTTGAACACTGCCTGGCCTCTTCCCCCTTTTCCGTTTTTCCATGCCTGGTGTTTGTACTTCAGTGACCCACTTCATTGATTGTGCTGGCCTTTGCCCCCAAGCTCTAGTGTGGGGTTTATTTCTTATTTATTATAATATTTGGAGGACAGGAGAAGAGACCTATCTTGCTAGTTCTTTTCTGCTTTAACTCAGGATTCTGGAGTTGGGAGTTAAAAACAACTCCTTAATATCTGGACAACAGATTCCAATAACAACCAATAACATTAAAAGAATAAAAAAACCAGGAATAAGGGGGGAAGCCAGTTAATAGGGTTTATAAAAACTATTGCAGCACAGGATAAAAGTTGTTAGAACTTAAAACTCTTTTCCATGAAATAGGTTTGCTGGGCACGGTGGCTCACACCTGCAATCCCAGCACTTCCTGCTCCTTAGACAGGGCCACTCCCACTCCAGTTCATCTCCTTTAATACTGTTTACAGAAGTAGGGCAGGTGTCGTAATTTATTTCCTCTTAACTTGTCAGAGACGTAAGAAGCTAACCTACTAGTTCTGTTTAATCTTGCAGGTTTTTATGTGTTTTGAATTTTTATCATGAACAGTCCCCCTAGTGCTGTACCCCTTTGGCAGGAAGAGCAATAGTAAGAGACGTTCCCCTATTTCCATCAGTCAGCCAAATATTTAAAAGTTAATTAGTAACGCAAGGCAGCATGTCAGTATTAGGTGAAAAAACATGTAATTGTAATGAACTATAAAATCTGAGGGCTGGCCAGCTACAGTGGCTCACACCTGTAATTCCAGCACTTTAGAAGCCCGAGGCAGCTGGATCACTTGAGGTCAGGAGTTTGAGACCAGCTGGTCAACATGGTAAAACCCCTTCTCTACTAAAAAAGAAAAAAAAAAAAAAATTAGCTGGGTGTGGTAGTGGGCACCTGTAATCTCAGCTTCTCGGGAGGCTGAGAGATGAGAATCACTTAAACCTGGGAGGTGGAGATTGCAGTGAGCTGAGATTGCACCACTGTATTTCAGCCTGGGCTACAAAGTGAGACACTGTTTTTTTAAAAAGAAAAAATCTGAGGGCTGAAGGGAATTTAAAAGAACATCTAGTTAAAACTAAAACATTTCAGAACTTGGGAATTTCTTGTCAAACTTCAAATTATCATAATTTTGATTCAGAGAGTAATCTGCTAAATACATGTAGTCAACCATGTCAGTAAATGTTAGGAATTGTTCTTTGTTTTCATATTAGTAAACATGAACTGATAATATAATTTTCTTTTTTTCTTTTGAGACAGAGTCTCACTCTGTCACCCAGACTGGAGTGCAGTGGCCTGATCTCAGCTCAGTGTAACTTCTGCCTCCCAGGTTCAAGCAATTCTCATGCCTCAGCCTCCTGAGTAGTTGGGATTTCAGGCGCGCATTCCACCACGCCTAGCTAATTTTTGTATTTTTAGTAGAGATGGGCTTTCACCATGTTGGCCAGGCTGATCTCGAACTCCTGACCTCAAGTGAGCCACCTGCCTCAGCTTCCCAAAGTGCTGGGATTACAGGCCTGAGGCACCGTGGCTAGCCTAATGTAATTTTCAAATCTGCATTAATTATACAAATCTGTAAGCACAAAACATGCACTTACGTGTCATACACTTAGGTATTTTACTTTTTGTATTACAATGTGGTTCTATTGATTTTTTTTTAAACTTTTAACATGAACATTTTCAAATTAACAGAAATGTTGCAAGAATAATACAAAAATTGCCACTATAGGATGGTGATTTTCCTAATTCTGTCATTTCTTTTTTTTTTTTTTTTTTTGGATGGTGATTTTCCCACCCTGTCATTTCTTTTGGGAAGAAGATAGAGGAAGAGACTGGAAGAGGTGGCTTGAGGCTGAGGAGGGAGAGGGCCAGCTTTTTTTTTTTTTTTTTTTTTTTGAGACGGAGTCTTGCTCTGTCACCTAGGCTGGAGTGCAGTGGCCGGATCTCAGCTCACTGCAAGTTCTACCTCCTGGGTTCACGCCATTCTCCTGCCTCAGCCTCTCGAGTAGCTGGGACTACAGGCGCCCGCCACCTCGCCCGGCTAGTTTTTTTTTTTGTATTTTTTAGTAGAGACGGGGTTTCACCGTGTTCGCCAGGATGGTCTCGATCTCCTGACCTCGTGATCCGCCCGTCTCAGCCTCCCAAAGTGCTGGGATTACAGGCTTGCGCCACCACGCACGGCCTAATTCTGTCATTTCTTCTATTAGCTGGCATTCTCTTATAAGGAAGTCTCTTCCCTACTTTTTCTCACTTAAAAAATCTGTTACCAATTCAGATTCATTCTGTGAATAATTATTATACTACCCTTACTTATTTTTATTGTCAAATTATCCTGAATTGAACGAGCCTGGTCAAAATCCCTGTGTTTTGACTTATTCCCAATCACACTTTTTGAGCACTTCCTTATTCTCTGGCATGGCAAAATGTTATGGGATCATTTTGCATCTTTGCTACCCCAGGTTAAGAATCAGCCTTTTCCCCTAGAAGTCCTTATTCCTTATCATGGGGAGTGGTATTTAGAAGTTAGACCTTTTCTACTTGTTCTCGACTGTTCTTTTACATTTAGTTTTTAAATTCATCTACAATTTATTCTGTAATATAGTGTGAGGTACAGATCTGTATACTAAAGTTTAAATTAATTTCTCTAGCAATGAAATATAAAACCAAAGACAGTTGTGTTTATATTCTTCCCCTTCAGGAATACTGATTGAGAGAGACAATCTTATTTAAATTTAATTTTAATTAATGTATATAAATTATGTTAAATGACATATATTTAACTTTACATCATGTGTCAGTTATTTTTTCTCTAACTTGTAGGTGCGTTTTCTAGAATCATGAAACTTTGTGAAGAAAAATGTGAAACAGATGAAATAAAGAAGGGAGGAAAAGGCAGAAGTTTATCATCTGTAAGAGGAATTACAAATTTAGGAAATACTTGCTTTTTTAATGCAGTCATGCAGGTAAGAGTCATCAGAAAGCTTTGTAATATGTAAAAAATTCTCTTAATTTATATGGTCATTGGCTTACCTGTAGACTGTCAAATGACTGCTAAATGTTCCTCTAGAAATTTCTCTGTTTTCCTTTGTTTATGCTATCTTGGGCCATCGCCATATGTATATATGTACCTTATTTTCACACAGTGCTTCTTGAAAGGTCTTCTGTGTATTTTACCATGGCTTTATTGGTAATAGTGACCTTTACGAAATGTAAAATGTACTCAACTAAATCTTAATATTTTTTGAAATAGACATTTTTGCTATGCTAGATGAAATTTGAGAGTGTATTCCATAAAATCAGAGGCATATTTTAACTGAATCTGAAGACTTTAATTTTGTTTTCTTTTAGAACTTGGCACAGACTTATACTCTTACTGATCGGATGAATGAGATCAAAGAAAGTAGTACAAAACTCAAGATTTTTCCTTCCTCAGACTCTCAGCTGGTGAGTAATAACTGTTTGAATAATAGCTGCTTTCAGATGAGCCACTGATGTTACCAAAATCTTTTTTCCTAATTCACAGATCAGTCAACTAAGATAGTAGTCAGGGGACTTAAAAAATAATTTAAAAGCATTCTGTGAAAATAATCAGATTTAAAATTTCTCAAATCATAACTTTAGGGTATGTTATGGTTCCAATATGCCATGGGTCAAATAATAAAAAAGATACCAAGACAACTTTAAAACAAACATACTGGAAGAAACAAAAGAGGTTTGACTTCTATTGAGCAAAATGCCTATGACCCATATTTTGTAGTTTCTGGTGACATTTGTTTAAATTTAGCATTTTTATTCTTTAAAAGGAGATAAAATTTTAATAGTGAGCATCTAAAGGTTTTTTGAAGCCTAGCCTGATGATAGATTTTTAAGCTAGTGAGAAAGATGAAAAAAAGAGCAGCCCCTGATATTCAGAAGCTGACCTGGCACCCACAGTTAGGCCATATTATTCAGATAATCTCACAGAATAATAATCTGATACTAGGTTTCTCTGAGACTACGATGAAATGAGACAAAGCAAGGCCACTTCATGATTTTGTCTAAAGCAAGGTCACTTTGCCATTTAGAAAATCTCAAACACCCTCCTTCAGCCAAAATGAGAAATGAATGACTGCTACTTTACTAGTTAGAGATTTATCCTCATTTTAGTCTCCCCCACCAACTGCCACGATATGTAAGATTTATTGAGATGTTCAATAATAGATTTACCCTTGCTTTCTGAGGGCATTCACTCTAGAGTAAACCTCTGCTTCCTGAAACCCACCTTCAGATTATTCAACCAAAGCCAAATCCTGGGTAGGTTCTTTTTAGCGCCCTGTTACTAGGACACCCTGTGGTTCCCCATGCGGTGTGATCTCCCTCACTGCCACAAGTAATAAACCCACCTAGTTTAACGATAGGTGTGTTTCTGATGGGCTTTGGCTGGGGCCGGGGAGGAGGGGCGGTATTTATACTAGTAAGGATAATTTTAGTGAGAAATTGTTCAGCGTGTGTGTGTGTGTGTGTGTGTGTATAAGAGAGTATATGTATAACTCATGATCTGACTTTTGAAAACAAAGAAGAGTTCTAAAAATGCTTAGCTCTCTAAAAATGCTTAGTAATCTTAGATTGTTTTTCTCAGTAGGCAGTTTTGAAAGACAGTACTGAAATATATATATATATAGCTTTGAAAGACAGTATTATATATATAACATACTGTTGTATCTATAACCCCCATATATATATTTACTATACATATGTTTACCATATATATATATGTATGTATAGTTGAAAGGCAGCCTGTGAACATTTCTTGTTCAGCCCCTTAAAAATTTAATGATAGATTCCAATGCCCTATTCTAAATAAAGTGTAGTGAGATCCTTGAAACTACTAAAGGGAAGTTATTGCCTAGTCATTTAAAAAGACCTATTAAATGTGATTTCCTGTTAAATGCGATTGGATGTTGAGTTTAAATATTTGACATGCAGAGCTGTGTCTCAGGATTACTATATGGCAGTTAGATACTGTAGTTAATAACTTTAGGTTTGTATCATTCTAACAGGGTAATTTCAATCTTACGTCTTAGATTTTTAGGGCATAAAGTTGACCTAAGCTGTGGGACTACTCTTTGAGTAGGTTACTGCCCTTTGAATCGCCAGTTTATCTTTGTCTTTTGTCTACATACCTTTTCTTTCTTTTTCTTTACCTTTTTGTGCTGGCTCAGACCTCCAGTAACGTGTTGAATAGAGATGATGGGAGCAGTCAGCCTTGCCTTAATCCCAAAATTAGGGGAAAAAACACTCAGCCTTCTCCCATTATTACATATGAAGGTAGGATTTTCAGAGGTGTTCTTTATAAGGTTGAGGACATTCCCTTCTACTGCTAGTTTTCTGAAACTTTTATCAGAATGGATGTTGAATTTTGTCAAATGCTTTCCGCACATCTATTGAGATGATCATATGGTTTTTCTTCTTTATTCTGTGAATGTGGTGAATTACATTGATTCCTTTTTCAAATGTTAAACCTATCCTGTATTCCTGTTACAAACCCCAGTTAGTTATGATATTTTTATATGCTGCTGGATTCAATTTAATATTTATGTGCATGTCAACAATGTGTTTGGAAAACTTTTTAATGAAAATATTCTTTAAAATGTATATTATGAGTGTATAGCTTGATGAATTTTCACAGCTAACACACTTGTGTAACTAACACCTTGCTCAAGTAACCTTACCAGCATTTGGAAGGCCCCTTCAACTTCCCCCTCCATTCACTACTTCCCTAACCCACATGAGTAACCACTAACCTGATTTCTAACAGGATAGATTAGTTTTGCCTGTTTTAATGCTGCATCTAAATGGAATCTTACTATGTACATTCTTTTGCATTTGGCTTCTTTCTATCAACATTATGTGTGAAATTCATCCTTCTTGCGTTTTCAGCAAACTTTTATTTTCAAAGTCTAAGTGTATTTTTTATTTTTATTTTATTTATTTATTTATTGAGTTGGAGTCTTGCTCTGTCACCCAGACTGGAGTGCAGTGGCACAATCTCCGCTCACTGCAACCTCCGCCTCCTAGGTTCAAGCAGTTGTCCTGCCTCAGCTTCCCGAATAGCTGGGACCACAGATGCATGCCACCACACCCAGCTAATTTTTTTTTTTTTTGGTATTTTTAGTGGAGACGGGGTTTCACCATGTTAGCCAGCCTGGTCTCAAACTCCTGACCTCAAGTGATCTGCCTGCCTCGGCCTCCCAAAATGCTGGGATTACAGGCGTGAGTCACTGTATCAGGTCTAAATGTAGTTTTTAAAACTAAGGTTATTTCCTCATCTTATTCTGAAGGTTTTTTATTCTGTCTAAAAAATACTTTCATTGGGAAAAGGGGAAGTACAACTTGGTACTTGAACTTTAAAATTACCTTAGATTTTACTTTTGACCCTTGAGGTAACTTTCAGTTAACATGGCAGAAAACACTTTAAAAAAAAAAAATAGACTTTATTTTTTAGAGCAGTTTTAGGTTTACAGCAGAAGAGAAAACTTTTTTTTTTTTTTTTTTTGGAGACAGAGTCTCATTCTGTCACTCAGGCTGGGGTGCAGTGGTGCCATCATGGCTAATCGCAGCCCAGGCTTAAGGGATCCTCCCACTTCAGCCTCCTGAGTAACTGGGACCACAGGCATGTGCCGCTACACCTGGCTAATTTTTAAATTTTTTTTTTGCAGAGACATGGTCTCCCTGTGTTGCCCAACCAGGCCTCCCACTCTGGGCTCAAGTGATCCTTCCACCTTGGCCTCCCAAAGTGTGTAGATTACAGATGTGAGTCATGGCACCCAGCCCAGAAAAGCACTTTTGACATTCAAAAGCTATGGAAGGCCGAGCACCATGACTCATTCTTGTAATCCCCTAGCAGTTTGGGAGGCCGGGGTGGGAGGATCACTTGAAGCCAGGAGTTTAAGACCAGCCTGGGCAACAAAGTGAGACCCCCCCCGACCCCAGTCTCTACAAAAATTTTAAAAATTAACTGGATATACTGGCATGCATCTGTAGTCCCAGCTGCTCAGGAGGTGGAGGCAGAAGGATCACTTGGGTCCAAGAGTTTGAAGTTACAGTGAGCCGATTGCACCAGTGTACTCCAGCCTGGGTGACAGAGTGAGACTTCATCTCAAAAAAAACAAAAGTCTGTCTTGAGTCCTCTGTAATTTTCACTGGGTGTGGTGGCTCATGCCTGTGATCCCAGCTACTTGGGAGGCCGAGGCGGGGGAATTGCTTGAGCCTTAGGAGTTCAAGACCAGCCTGGGCAACCCTGTCTCTTAACAATAAAAAAGGTATGGAAAATTATAGCTTGTCCTTCCTGTGATGATAGTGGATTTTTAAGGATAGTTGGTATGAAATACCTATGTAACAGTTATTTCATGAATACAGGAATAGGAAAACACATTCAATAGTTGTCTTAGAAGATAACATTCTTTAATGTCCTGAGTTTATATTGGGATGTCCTTTCTATTCCTTGTCCTTTAGGAGAAAGTGTTATTGGTGGGGATAATACTTTAGAAACCAGATTTCTAGGGGAAAAAAAATTCTGGAATTAAATGGGTTAATCCCTCACCCAATGTTAACTGCTTTTGTCAAGCTTTATGTCTCTCCCCTTTAAAAGAGGGAGATGTTATGCTGATTTTGCCACGTGATTCCACATTATTGTTTTACTAGTAAAATATTTGGGGAAAAGAAAGTTGTATAATCAATCATACATCATACACAAATAATCATACATTATTTAATCTACAAATATTAAGTAGATTAGTGATTTTACAGGAGAGTACATTAAAGGACAGTGACAAGCAACTAAAGGCTGGTGACTTTAGTTGGAGCTAATAGTTTTATTAAGCAAAGGGCAGAGGATATGAAAATACCTGTGTTTTTCAAGGCAGGTATTCTGTTTTCCATTTTTATATATTCATTTTATTTATGAAATAATAGTACAATTGGGGGAATTTAGTTGCTGTTATTTAAGCAGAGTGTAACTGAGATTTTTAGTATGTTATTTTTAAACTGTACATTTCTGACATAGAGTTGATCATGTTTTTAAAGGACCCGTTAGTGGTGGAACTTTCAAGGCCTGGACCACTGACTTCAGCCTTGTTCCTGTTTCTTCACAGCATGAAGGAGACTGAAAAAGGACCACTTTCTCCTAACGTTCTTTTTAATCAGCTTTGTCAGAAGTGGGTGCATCTACATTTTTAATATAAGTAATTATGAGTTACAAAATACTAATGTATTTATCACTTAACATGAATAGTCATTCTTACTGTAACTTTGCTATTACTGCCCAGACTATCAAGAGAAAGAACTAACATTTATTAGTTGTAGCTCTATGCTTTATGAAAATTATATCTCAGTCCTCAGAAGAAGCAGATTATGCTCATATATAAGGAAATGGAGACACAGAAATTAAATGGCTCACCTGGTCTGAGTGAAAAGCTGAGAATCAAATAGAGGTCTATCCTGACTTGGATGCCTTTATTGTAATACCATAAAGTAAGAAAATCATAGAGTTGTAAAATCTAGAAAGTACTGTAAGATACCATCTAATCTAACTTTCTTATTTTAAAAGATGAGCTGTGAGGCAAATAGAGTTTAAGTGAATTTCTCAAGATATTACAGTATGTTTAAAAACCAAATCCTTGTGTGCCTAGAAATAAACACATAAAGGAACTGACTTGACTTTAATGCATTCATGTATTCATTTATATAAAAAATTCAGAGCTTGCTTTTTATGAGTTACTTGCTAGAATTCAGGGGTACACAATGTATATTGCATCACAAATGCACCCCGTCCTCATGGAACTCACAAGCTAGTCCAGTCCACAGTTACTGAAATATGTAGAAGGAAAATTCTTTGAATATGAGCTTGCATTTTTGCATATTTATAGACTTTAAAATCTCATTTTAGTTAAAACTAGTAATGAATGCCATGATTTTTATATATAGTCCAAAATAGAGGGCTTAGTGTATGTTTCATTTGGTTGGCAAATGATGTTTCTTCAAAACCTGAAGACCAAAAAACCTGCAAAAGTCTCAGAGGCATGAGTGTTTCGCAGAGTTAAAAAGTTTTTAGCACAGCCATAATAAAGAATGAAATCATGTTATTTACAGCAACATGGATGCAGCCGGAGGCCATTATCCTAAGGGAATTAATACAGGAACAGAAAACCAGATACCACATGTTCTCACTTACAAGTGGAAGCTAAACATTGGGTACTCACAGACATAAAGATGGCAATAATAGAGACTGGGGACTACTAGAGGTGGGAGAGGTTGAGGGAGGAAGGGTTGAAAAACTAGCTGTTGGATACTTTGCTTAGTACTTGAGTGACAGGGTCATTCGTACCCCAGACCTCAGCATCAAACAATATACCTGCAGGTAACAAACCTGCACATGTACCCCTTGCATCTAAAATAAAAGTTGAAATTAAAACAAAGTTATTAGGGCATTGTATGCTTTAGAAATTTGTTTCCGACTTTGCCAGAAATAACTTGTATAATTTTCTTCCTGGTTATAAAGGTTTATTAGCATTTTGAAAATTATTATTAAATAATGGGCACTCATAGGTAAAAATTCAAACTCCTCTCTATACTCCTCAGAAGTAACTATTATCTGATTCTTTCCAAAAGTGATTATACATACACAGGCATATGCAAATCATTTGCAACTTGCTTGATTTGCTTAGTATATTTTTTCCATGTTAGTACGTGTGTGTATAACTTAGTTTTGTATGTATACACTGTACTTGCGGAAGTACATCTGTAGGATAAATTCTTAGAAATAGAATAACCAGATCAAACATTATTTGAAGAGTTTTATTTATTTTTTGTGTTTTTTAGGAGACAGGGTCTCGCTCTGTGCCCAGGCTCAAGTGCAGTGGCCTGATCATAGTCGAATTCCTGGGCTCAAGCATTCCTCCCTGCTCAACCTCCCAAGTAGCTGGGATTACAGGCATGAGCATCCATGCTTGGCAGAAAAGTTTTAAATTGCTTTCTTTTTGTTTGTTTTATGGCATTTACTTTTTAAAAAAGTATGCATTAGACAAATTTGTTTTTTTTTTTTTTTGAGACGGAGTCTCGCTTTATCACCCAGGCTGTAGTACAGTGGTGCGATCTCTGCTCACTATAAGCTCCGCCTCCTGGGTTCATGCCATTCTCCTGCCTCAGCTTCCCGAGTAGCTGCGACTACAGGCGCCCACCACCACGCCTGGCTAATTTTTTGTATTTTTAGTAGAGATGGGGTTTCACCGTGTTAGTCAGGATAGTCTCTATCTCCTGACCTTGTGATCTGCCCACCTCGGCCTCCCAAAGTACTGGGATTACAGGTGTGAGCCACTGTGCCCGGCCAGGTAATCAGGTAAAGATTTAAGCCATATGTGTTTGGGTTTATTTCTGAACTATATTCTGTTTCATTCATCTGTATGTCTTGTCTTTACCCCAAAGCCTACACTGTCCTGATTACTGTAGCTTTATAGTAAGTCTTGCAATTGAGTAATGTGAGTTCTCAAATTTTGGTCATCCTTTTCAAACTATTCCAGGTTTTTTTGTTTTTTTTTTTGAGACAGAGGTTCACTCTTGTTGCCCGGGCTGGAGTGCAATGGCATGATCTTGGCTCACTGCAACCTCCACCTCCTGGGTTCAAGCAATTCTCCTGCCTCAGCCTCCTGAGTAGCTAGGATTACAGGCGCCCGCCACCATGCCTGGCTAATTTTGTGTTTTTACTAGAGACAGGTTTCTCCACATTGGTCAGGCTGGTCTTGAACTCCCAACCTCAGGTGATCTGCCCGCCTTGGCCTCCCAAAGTGCTAGGGTTACAGGCGTGAGCCACTGCACCCGACTGGTCCTTTTTTTTCTATGTAAAGTATAGAATCAGATTGTCAGTTAGGATTGTTTTGAATGTGTAGATCAATTTGGGGAGAATCAACATCTTAACAATGTTGAATCTTTTAATGTATGCTATCTTACCAGTTTTCTAGGTCTTTGATTTTTCTCATCAAGGTTGTATAGTTTTCAGCATACAAATCCTGCATATGTTTTGTTAGATTTATCTTAAGAATTTCATGTTTTTATGCTATTTATTGTAAATAGTACTCTTTTTAAATATTAACTTTCCAATTGTTCATTGTTAGTATACAGAAATACAGTTGATTTTTGTATGCTGACCTTGTTTCTTGCTACCCTACCCAACTTGCTTAACTAGTTCTATTAGCTTTTTGCTGATTCATTGGTATTTCTTATATAGACAATAATGTCATTGGCAAATGAAGATTGTTTTATTTCTTTCCAATCTGTATCATTTTATATCTTTTTCTCATTTTATATCACTGGCAAGGACAACCAATACAATACATATTGCAATAGGACTCTTCTTGGAAAGAAAATGAAAAAGGACTGCCAATACAATGTTGGAATGGTGAAATGGGTGTCTTGCCTTATTCCTGATATTTATCAGGTTGAGGAAATTCCCAATTATTCTTAGTTTTTCTTTTTTTCTGAGAGTTCTTATCAAGAAATGGATTTTTAAAAAATACTTTTTCTATATCAAAATAATCATTTTTTTTGTCTGTTGGAATAGTAAATTATATTGATGGATATTCTGACTAGCTTTACTAAGGTATATTTGACATAAAGTAAATTGTACATATTTAAAGTGTACTATTGGGGCCAGACACAGTGGCTCACACCTGTAATCCCAGCAGTTTGGGAGCCAAGGTGGGAGAACTGCCTGAGGCCAGGAGTTTGAGACTAACCAGGACAACACAGGGAGACTCAAACTCTATGAAAAAAAAAATTTGCCGGAGGTGTGATGGTGCACACCTGTGTCCCAGCTACTCTAGAGGCTGAGGTAGGTGGATCACTTGAGCCTAGGAGTTTTGAGTGTACAGTGAGCTGTTAGTGTCATTGCGCTCCTGTCACCCTGTCTTGCTGAAAAATATACTATTGGATAAGTTTTGACATATCTGTACACTTTGTGTGTGTGTGTGTGTATACATACATTCATTCAATATAATGAATGTATCCATCACCCCCCAAAGTTTTGTGGGGCCCCTTTGTAATCCCTTTCTCTGGAACCTCTCCCCTAAACTCCATCCCTGGGTGGTATACCCCTTACCTGTGTTTTTGTTGCAATAGATTAGCTTGCATTTGGGGGAATTCTATAGAAATGGAATCATACAGGGTGTACTCTTTTTTATCTCACTTCTTTCACTTGGCAAAATTTGTGGTTTATTCATGTTGTGTGTACGTGAACCAGTCTCTTGAAGTTTCTGTTACAGTGGTGATTATCAGACACTTTGACCACTTGTGATGAGCCTTATTTGGGAGCAAGGTCTTCAACTTTGTGTTTTTTGTTTGTTTTATTTGGTTTTCTGCTTCTGCATTAGTTCACTTAGGGTGACAGCTTTAAGCTGCTTCCATGTTGCTTGCTGCAAAGGACATGATTTTGTTCCTTTTTTATGGCTGTGTAGTATTCCGTGGTGTATATGGACCACATTTTCTTTATCCAATCCACCATTTATGGGCACCTAGGTTGATTCCATGTCTTTGCTACTGTGAATAGCACTGTGATGAACAAAGAAGTGGATTAAATTTCTTTTTCTTGACAGTCTCATAATTTATGCTTGTACATGTATTTTTCTCTTATGCCTTGAGGTTTTCAAAAGTCCTCTCCTCTTTCTCATAGCAGTACTTTTACTAAAGTACATTTCCTGGGAATCCTTAGTGTTCCCCTTATTTTGAATAGGCTGAATATTTGGTGATTTTTCTCTTTTAATCCTTTAATAGGTTTGAAAGTCTCTCTTGATGTGGGTAGCTCAGACAGGCTCCATCATAGAGTCTATAAATCATCCTATGAATTTTTTTTTTGCCCATTCCTAGGTAAAAAAGAAAAAGCAAATCTAAGTTTATTAAATTTTCTTCAGTGGTTTAGAAGGCAGTAAATAGTTTTTGCAGTGGTTGAGATGGAGCTATAGGCAGAGACATGGTGGAAGCCGTTTCTCTTTGTTGAGGAATGATTTCCTTCTTGTGTGTCTGTTTTGAAAGCCATAGACTGCCCCCTCCTCCTACCTACCCCTTGGCTAGTGAAGATCTCTAAAGGATTCTCCTGCTCCCTATTCTAGTCGCCTGCTACTTCACTGGCCTTCCTTGGAGTGTACAGCATAAGTGCAGGGTACTGCAGTTTCTGCCTCTCCTGATGCCAGCTGTGGAGGTCCAGATAGGATTAGAATATGTGTCCATCTTGATTTCTGTCCTCATCTCTAATCTAGGAGGTAGGTTCTGGATACCACGTGCAGGTAGGGAAGCCCATCAAGGTAATAAAGTATTGTCAGCATGTTGCTATGTGCTGCTAGTTAGCAAGAATGTCTGGAGTGGTGTTTCCTCTTACAGGCTAGATTGACTACCAGTTAATATTTTAGCAGTCAGGGACTCACTTTCTTTGTATTATTAGGATGAATATTTATCCTGAGATAGTGAAGAATAATGCTGAAAGTACTGCACTTGGCCGGGCGTGATGGCTTATGCCTGTAATTCCAGCACTTTGAGAGGCTGAGGTGGGTGGATCATTTGAGGTCAGGAGTTCGAGAGCAGCCTGGCCAACATGGTGAAACCCCACCTGTACTAAAAATACAGAAATTAGCCACGCACGATGGCAGGTGTGGCAGGCAACTGTAGTCCCAGTCACTCAGGAGGCTGAGGCAGGAGAATTACTTGAATCCAGGAGGCGGAGGTTGCAATGAGCTGAGTTTGTGCCACTGCACTCCAGCCTGGGTGACAGAGTGAAACTCCGTCTCACAAAAATAAGTTAATAATTAAAAATAATTAAGTACTGCACTCAGTCAAAAGACCTGTAGTTACGTTAGTGGCACTTAGCTTGTTCTTCACTTTTCTCAAGCATAAAGTAGAACTTATATTAATTATAAATTCCTGAACAGTGCTGTTTTGTATATCACATGAGATACGTTGTAAATATCATCAATAGTTGTGAATTTGTCGTCTATAGTCTATTCTCATTCTTTTGTGTTTTGACAATTATTTCTTCATCTTAGGACACTTTCTAGATTTAATACTTGTCTGCACTTAAGGCAAAACGTTCATTTTAGCATTAGAGTTTACTGTAGATTACTTTTTAAAGTAACTGAAATCAACCACATATTTCCTATGTCAGTGTCTCCATGAATAGTACCTGATCTTTCTATTAAATTAATACAGAGGAATTTTAATTATCAAGTCCGTAAAAAATATATTCACAGGGAGATCAACTTATAGTCCTTTATTTGAATATAAATACTCTCTCGCTTTCCTTTTGGTTAAGGTAGGAAGATAATAAATCACAGTGGCTTGGGTTTGAATACTGGTTTATTTGCCAGCCGTATGACCTTGCAAATGATTTAAACAATACCGCTGAGTCCTCGCGTGTAAGTTGGAGAAAACAGTACATCCCAACAAAGTTGTTGGAGGATCATGCCTGAACGTGTGAAAAACTACTAGTATTGTGCTTAACATGTAGTAATTGCTTAATAAATGATAGCCGTATTCTCAGTGCACACTTAAGATCACACCCTAATTGGACCAGTAATCACATTTTGTCTATTTAGTTGGAAAAGTAGTAAACTGCGTCTTTATGCCATTTTGTGTGTGTGGGTGTGTGTTTTGGTAGAGAACGGGGTTTTGCCTTGTTGCCCAGGCTGGTCTCGAACTCCTGAGCTGAAGTGATCTGCCCCTCAGCCTCCCAAAGTGCTGGGATTACAGGTGTAGGCTGCCGCACCCGGCTAAGAATATGCTATTTCAAGTGCATTTAGACAAGAGTGTTGAACCATGAAATGATTATGCTTTTTTTCTTTCCTCTTTTGTCTTTAAATCACAGGGCACCTCGATTTAAAGATTTCCAGCAACAGGACAGTCAGGAGCTTCTTCATTATCTTCTGGATGCAGTGAGGACAGAAGAAACAAAGGTCAGGTTTCTTTATGTATATCATATATTCTCTTCAAGAAGAGGATACAAAACTAAGGAAGTATTGAGGGGCCAAGGCGGGGTGTATCATCTGAGGTCAGGAGTTTGAGACCAGCCTAGCCAACATGGTGAAACCTCCTCTCTACTAAAACATAAAAATTAGCCGGGTATGGTGGTGCATGCCTGTAATTCCAGCTACTTGGCAGGCTGAGACATGAGAATTGCTTGAACCCAGGAGGCAGAGGTTGCAGTGAGCCGAGGTCATGCTACTGCATTACTCCAGCCTGGGTGACAGAGTAAGACTGTGTCTCAACAAACAAACAAACAAACAAACAAAAAAACAAGTAATTTCTACTACAATTTAAAAGTACAGTTGAGAAATAATTTAATTTTTTAGAATAAATGTTCTAGATATTTTTTCTTTCTTCTGTAAGATATTCACCTTTATCCTTTTACAGTCCTATTGTCCTTTTTCGTTAATGCCCTTTGGCTGTAAATAAAATAATTTAAACTAGCTTAAGTAAAAAGGAATTGTGGCCAGGCATGGTGGCTCATGCCTGTAATCCCAACACTTTGGAAGGCTGAGGCAGGTAGATCACCTGAGGTCAGGAGTTCAAGACCAGCCTGGGAAACAAGGTGAAACCCTGTCTCTACTAAAAATATAAAAATTGGCCAGATGTGGTAGCGTGCACCTGTAATCCCAGCTACTTGGGAGGCTGAGGCAAGATAAACGCTTGAACCCCGGAGGTGGAGGTTGCAGTGAGCCAAGATCGTGCCACTCTACTCCAGCCTGGGTGACAAAGTGAAATGCCGTTTAAAAAAAAAAAAAAAAAGAATAGGGCATCTTAAGATGCAGGGAGATATTCCTGGGGGATATAGGAACAGGAAAGCTGTCAGGAATCCAGAAAGCATTCTTCTTCTTATCCTAGTTTCGCTGGCTCTGTAGATAATTTTCTTCCTTTTTCTCCATGCAGACCAAGCAGTATTTGTATGTCATAGTTCCATGTATGTAAAAACTATACTGGCTATTCATGATTCTTGATTTTTAAATTCCCAGTAGAGAGAAACTTCATTATTCCATGTTGGATTAGATTCCACTCATGGATCAGTTGTTTGTGGCTAGGAGAGAGGAGTCCCAGCCTCTTGGATGGGAGAGCATTTATCAGAAAAGGAATAGCTCATGGACTGGATAGATCCAAACAGTGTTGATTGTAGGCCTATCCCCTAAATGATTGGCTCTTTATTGACTTTAATGTTAAATTAGTTAAATTCAACTTCTTCTCGGGAGGGGTTTCCTATGCACATAGGATTCAGTTTATCGGAGAAAATGCAAGATATTAAGGATGTCAGATACACAGTACGCACTCTCCATTTTCCTCCCTCTTACTCATGAAAGACATTGTTAATCGTTCCTAACAGTCCAGAATTATTTTCTGAGCACACCACTGTGGGCAGCCCTTGTCAGTCATAACTGGAATAATAGGTGAAAACCTGTTTTCCATTCAAGGCAAATATGCTTCTTAATCTATATGGTAATATGTAATAAAAGCAGCCAAGTGTTCAGTGAAGTACATACATGCTTGTGATAAGTAGTGCTAGGCATGATTGACCTTCCTTTTTTAAAAAAAAAATTCTGCCAGGTATGGTGGCTCATGCTTGTAATTGCAGCACTCTGGGAGGCCAAGGTGGGTGGATCACTTGAGCTCAGGAATTTCAGACCAGCCTGGTCAACATGGTGAAACCATGTGTCTACTAAAAGCACAAAAATTGGCCAGGCGTGGTGGTGCACACCTGTAATCCCAGCTTCTCGGGTGACTAAGGCATGAGAACCACTTGAACCCGAGAGGTGGAGGTTGCAGTGAGCTGTGATCGCACCACTGCACTCCAGCCTGGGCAACAGAGCAAGGGCCTACCTCAAAAAACAAAAATCCTGTGTTTTAATTGTAGTGTGGCAGTGTCTCTTTACTCCTAGTGACTGTTTCACGTGTCCGTGTGAAGAGATCACCAAACAGGCTTTGTGTGAGCAACATGGCTGTTTATTTCACCTGGGTGCAGGCGGGCTGAGTCCGAAAAAGGAGTCAGCAAAGGTGATGGGATTATCATGAGTTCTTATAGGTTTTGGGATAGGCAGTGGAGTTAAGAGCAATGTTTTGGGGTCAGGGGGTGGATCTCACAAAGTACATTCTTAAGGGTGGGGAGAATTACAAAGAAACTTCTTAAGGGTGGGGGAGATTATAAAGAACATTGATCAGTTAGGATGGGGTAGAAACAAATCACAATGGTGGAATGTCATCAGTTAAGCTATTTTCAAGTCTGTGGATCTTCAGTTGCTTCAGGACATCTGGATGTATACGTGCAGGTTACTGGGGATATAATGGCTTAACTTGGGCTCAGAGGCCTGACAGTGACCAGTTTCCAGTGAAGAGAAAATTAGAGTTCTAACATTTTCTTTAAAGTTTCCTTTAAAAATAAGGATTGAGTTAATTACTCTCTCCTGCTACAAAACATCACATATCACAATCCTATTTTTAATTGTCTGTTTTTAATTATCTGTTTATTGACTTTCTTATTAAGCTAATTCAGCTTTTAGAGGTATCATTCCCTTTCTGCCACTTCTCTACTTTTATGTAATTGATCATAAATGCTACCACTTTCTATTTAATGTCCCTGTCTGTCAGCTTTCTTAGATTGTGATCTGTTTGAGGAATGGTATTATGTATTGTCTCTGTCCTGTGTGCCTTGCACATAGTAGGTGTTCTGTGAATTTTTGTTTGTGTGTGGTTTTTTTTTTGTTTTTTGTTTTTTTTGACACAGGGTCTCACTCTGTCACCGAGCCTGGAGTGCAGTGGCGTGATCTCACCTCACTGCAACCTCTGCCTCCCAGGTTCAAGTGATTCTCCTGCCTCAGCCTCCCAAGCAGCTGGGATTACAGGTGTGTGCCACCATTCCCAGCTAATTTTTGTACTTTTAGTAGAAATGGGGTTTCACTGTGTTGACTAGGCTTGCTTATTTATTTATTTAGACAGTGTCTTACTCTGCTGCTTAGGCTGAAGTGTGGTGGTGTGATCTCGGCTCACTGTAACCTCCAACCTCCTGGGGTCAAGTGATTCTCCTGCCTCAGGCTCAGCTTCTTGAATAGCTGGGATTACAGACACATATCACCAAGCCTGGCTAATTTTTTTTTGTGTGTGTATTTTTAGTAGAGACAGGGTTTTACTACTTTGGCCAGGCTGGTGTCGAACTCCTGACCTCAAGTAATCTGCCTGCCTTGACCTCCCAAAGTGCTGGGATCACAGGCATGAGGTGCCACTCCAGGCTCCCTGTGAACCTTTTTTTGAATGAGTTGTATGTGCTTAACCTTAAACACAACTTCTTTTGAGAATTTGAATTGGGAAGAAATCAAAATAATTATTCTTATATGTTGTACTAGCTAGTTTCTTTGTGATTTGCAATTATTTTGAATGTGTTGTATTTGAATAAACTGATAAACTGGCAGGATAATACTGTGTAATTTTACCTATATTGTGTCTAAAAAAGAAAAAAAAGAGATTTATAATTAGTTAACCATTGAGGATATTAGCATAATCCCCTAGTTAGTATTTGATCACATTTTCTTAGAGCTAGGAACTGATACTTAGAGTTGAGCTTCAAACTCAAGTCTTTCTGACTCCCAAACTAATGATCTTTCTAATTCTATAAAATACTGCTGATTGAAGTTTAGTTTTAATGCTTGGACATCTGTAGTCAGTAGAAATAATGATTTTAAACCTGCTATTTAAAATGTAACCATAATTATTTTACTATTTGAAAAAGTATTAAATCGGATTCAATAATTATGATATATTGCTGTTCTTGTTGAGGGGGTAGATGCATGTTGGCAGGGTGGGAACAGGTTGCTGTTCATATTATAAACAATAAATGGGCCTACAGATGATATGAGTTACTTTAAGATTAATTCAGATTTATCAATTGCTAGAGTTATTTTTTTCCTGGGGTTTGCAGGAATACGTTTACTATATGGTGGTCATGTATCATTAAATGGAATTAAAAATTATGTAAGTGGGCTGGGCATGGTGGCTCATTCCTATAATCCCAGCAGTTTGGAAGGCTGAGGTGGGCGGATCACCGGAGGTCAGGAGTTTGAGACCAGCTTGGCCAACATGGTGAAACCCTGTGTCTACTAAAAATACAAAAATTAGCTAAGCGTGGTGGCGCGTGCCTGTAATCCTAGCTACTCAGGAGACTGAGGCAGGAGAATCGCTTGAACTCAGGGTGGAGGTTGCAGTGAGCCGAGATCGTGGCACCGCACTCTAGCCTGGGTGAGGGAGTGAGACACGTTCTCAAAAAAAAAAAAAAAAAAAAAGTGAGTGAAGTTAAAAGTCATGTGAATGGATTAAAATTATGTCTTGGTGTTTTTCTTTTTTCCTGTTGATATTATTAAAAAAAGTAAAATATATCCCTGTCATTTTTTTTCTATTTTACCTCTATAATTTGATAGCAGTCCTTGTTATAATAAAATTATTGTTTGATCATAATGGTACAGTGGGATGCACAGTATCTTAGGCAGCACAGCAGGACACGTTGGTTTTGAAAACTCTTATCTTTCTTGCGCTATTTGAGAGCTTTAGATGGTGCAGTAAAATTAAAATGTCAAGTCTGTGGATCTGTTCAATTTCATAAGCAAGGACAGTCCTGACGGTCAGCTACAGTGACTATCGGGGCAGGAGCTGCATTGTCTGGCCTGGGAACTCCACAGCTGTTAATCGTGCTGTTGTTGTAGTGTGTCACTGCCATGTGTTTTCTTGATTGAAGAAAGGCTACAATGTTATGTCTGCCACCAGAATCTTTTAGTAATGATGAAAAACTACTGACCTCCTTTCATATGGTTTCATTAAAGTCTTTTCTGAACTACAAAGTTGAGGAATAGACTCTTGCTGAATATAGTACTTAAGGGATCATTTGTGCAGAAATTGTAAATTTTTCGTGTACAAAATCAAATTTCCTAGAAGTAGTTCTTTTATAAGGCAGTCTTTTTAATTGATAAATTTATGCTTCTTTGTTTTTTCCTTATAATTTGCAGTCAATAAATTAATATTACTTTTTAATTAAAGATTTATTACTATAATACATTGTTGGTTAGAATTATTTTAAAGGCAGAATATCTCAACTAACTTAAATTGTACATTATTCTCATTCTTGTTTTTGAAGTATAAGGTGGAGATTTGAAATAGCTGAACCTTGATACTGCTAATTGATTACGTACTACAGTTATTAACTACAGTTATTAACTGACCAAAGTATCTTTCTTTTAACCTAAATTGTTCAAAGCACAACTCCTAACAATGAGCTATTGTATATGGACCTAAACTCATTTATTTTCTTCAACTTGATGAATTACCTATTAACTTTTAAGCAGTTTAGAGTAGAGAATATAAATTCATGGTTAGGATAGAAATTAAAAAGCAAAAGTCTAATATTTAAAAGTTAACAATGTAAACAATTTCATTTTACTCTTTTTAGAGTGTAATCACAGCTTTTTATCTTTTTTCCTGCTGCTCGAATTGGTAACTTTTTAGCTTCTTTTGAGTGATACGACATTTCAGGATATATAGCGAAGTTTCATTAAATCATATCAAAAATCAGTCTGAATTAGTAAAATGTTTAAATTGTAGGATAAATTTACAGACTAAGTTGACTTAGAAGTATTTCTCTTGAGTTGTTTGAAAGTATGATTATATGAAATATTTACAGGTGAACATTGGCATTTATTGGAATTTTTCATTTAAGTTCATTAAATATTTCCCCTGCATGGAATTTACGCAATTCCAATTTGCTTACTTTAGTTCAATAAATTCTTTTTCAAGGCGTAAAAGTCAACTTTAGCTTAGACAATGTCTGAATTATATCAACTTTCAAATTTATTGAGTCTGAATTGGAGATTATTTCAGTATTTAATAGCTTCTGGGAGACATTTTAATGTTTGATTTCTTTATAGTATATAAGTGTATTTCAGGACTTGTGTCACATGATATGAATTGCTTTATGTTTGCTTTTATCCCCTACTTTGTAAAATATTTAAGTGTTTTGACCTTGTATTAATTTTCAAAATATGCTTGAGGAGGACAGTAAACAGTTATAGGAAATATAATGTGTTAATCACAGGCCAGTTAATAATAAGTGAAACTCGGTTTCACAATTATTGGAGGAGAATGTGTTAAAAAAAAAACGTATATCATACACAGAAGAAACATAAATTATACACAGCAGAACAATTCTGAGGGGTCACGAGTGTCTTCTGCTCATCCAGGCAGCAGGGCATGGAGCAAGAATAAGAACGTGAGCACCTCCTTCTCCATATATTGTGTTCTTAGATTAAAAGCATGTTATAATGGCAGAAGGGAATCTTGGTGTTGACAATATGTCTGATTCATAAGTCTCATTGCTCCAATCTGGGTTCTTTACCTCTCATGTCTGATGTACACATATCCTTCTGGAATTCCTCCTAACCATGCTCCCGGGAGTTCCCTTTGCCTCTCTTGTGTTTTGGCCTTGCCGTTGCTTACATCTCATGTTCTTGTCTTTCTTCCTTTATGCTCTTTTTTTCTTTATTCAAAAGGTAGCATATACCATATATATAACTTTTTGTACTTTGTCTTTTTTCACTTAATATATCAAACTGATTTATTAGATGGGCAACATAGGAATAGCCTGTCTCTACAAAAAACAAAAAACAAGAAAACCCAGGTGTGACAGCTTATGCCTGTAATTCCAACACTTTGGGAGGCTGAGGCAGGTGGCTTGCTCGAGCTCAGGAGCTTAAGACCAGCCTAGGCAACTTGGCAAAACCCCATCTCTACAAAAAATTTAAAACAAATTAGTCAGGTGTCGTGGTGTGTGCCTATAGTCCCAGGTACTTGGGAGGCTGAGGCAGGAGGATCACTTGAACCCAGGGAGGTCAAAGCTCCAGTGGGTGGCGATCACACCACTGCACTCCAGCCTGGGCAACAAAACAAGACTCTCTCTCAAAAAAAAAAAAAAAAAAAAAAATTTAAATTTTGAAAGATAATTAACAAACTTTTCCCTCATCCTACTGTCATAATCTGAATTAGGAAGACAAAATTCATCCACTAATTAGGGGCATAGTTAATGTAAAAAGGTCACTAAGTTTTATTCTTGGAATATGTAGTTTTATTCTGAAACTTTTCTGTGAGATTGTATCTTTCCTAAAACATACATAAGAAATGTAGAAATATACAATACAAACCTTGACATTTACTGAGAGCTGCTGAAGACAAATCATTATTGACAACTAAGTTCAAGTAAAACCATAATTAAAATTTGGGAGATTCTTCTTGCTGTGGACATTAATTGATAAGTTTGGACTTTATTTATATGTGTATATAAATGAGGTAGTCCACATAGCATAGAGATTATAGTAACCAGCTTGATAGCTTCTTAATATAGAAAGGTCTTCATAGACAATAAATTTCATATGATCTATTTTCTTTTTTGGTTCTAATTAAGAAGTGTCATTTTAGAGACAGGGAGAAGGAAGAAAGGGCAAATGAATTTACTCTAAGCCTTCTTTTATTAGGAGGATGAGGCTTGAGTTAACTATTACTAGACCAGAATCTATTAACTTTGTTTTACAGCGAATACAAGCTAGCATTCTAAAAGCATTTAACAACCCAACTACTAAAACTGCTGATGATGAAACTAGAAAAAAAGTCAAAGGTATGTTGACTCTTTGTTAAAACTTTTTTCTGTAAGAAAATATTAAATTTTTATTTTAGTTGGAAAAAGAACTGAGCATTATGTGAACTAATACACCAAAGTAGTGGCTTTAAAAGGAGGGCGTAGTTGCTGCAATGTCTGAAAAACACTTTAGTGGAACATAGAAAATGCTAGAATGTATTCATGTGAATTTATAAAAATAAAGCTAATACCATGTATACAGATTGACACTGATACCTTTATGTGAGGTCTTCTAAGGGAAACTTGAAAGGTTGTTGAAAGTAGCAACCACACTTGAAAGTTCATATTTATTATATTGTATCATTTGACATGTGTTTGGATCAATGGATTTATGGATTTTTTTTAGATGTAGCTAGACAAAATGCTTAAGTGCTCCAAAGACTCCTGCAAATAAACCGTTTATTGAAGACAGTGCTACAAGTGTAAGTGCACTTTGCCTACTCCTAGTGTTTGCTATTCATCCGTAAAAATATGAGCTCCAAATGATGATTAGCTAATCAAAGTTGGTTATTTATCATTATCAATACTACAGTGTGGGTTTATATACCTTGCCCTAAGTGTATATTCTGCATTGAGATGCTAACTAATGTTAGCATGAAGTAATTTTTAGAAGATATTTAAAAATATTATTTGTATTTTTTTCTAACTTTTGTTTTTGTGGTTTTATAATGTATGTACTACAGGTCTATAATTTACAAACATACACACATTGTTACTCTGCACTTTATTGAACCCCTTAATAGGTTCAAGATTTTTTTAAACTGTAGTTGCTCAAGTATGCTTTGTTCTTTTGTGTTGAGATAGTGCCATCTTGTGGATATTTAGAATAACAACCCAGTTTTTCTTTCCCCTTTTCCAGTTTTGTAATCTCTATTTCCAATCGCTTATAGTTTTTCTTGATGAAACATCTTTATTATTATAGTATTTTTAAATACAATTTTAATTAATGTTTGTTGATATATTCAGATATGTTTTCTGTCATTCAGTGCTCTAATACTTTAAATGATTTTAAATATTGTTTGTATGAAACTTGAAGATAGAGGCTCAAAAAATAAGTCTGAATGAGGGGTGAATAGGTTTGTTAATGTACTTTTTCCTCCCATGGCTTATGATGGCAAGTTTCAAATTTTTATTAAAGTAGAGAGAATAGTATAATGCAGCCCTTTTATATCTGTCACCCAACTTAAACTGCATTCATGGTTTATGTTTAATCTATTTTCTGCCAACCTCAGGTTATATATATATTTTTTGAGACGAAGTCTCGCTCTGTCCCCCAGACTGGAGTGCAGTGGCGCCATCTCGGCTCACTGCAAGCTCCTCCTCCTGGGTTCACTGCATTCTCCTGCCTCAGCCTCCGGAGTAGCTGGGACTACAGGCGCCCGCCGCCACGCCTGGCTAATTTTTTTTGTATTTTTAGTAGAGACGGGGTTTCACCATGTTAGCCAGGATGGTCTCAATCTCCTGACCTCGTGATCCGCCCGCCTCGGCCTCCCAAAGCGCTGGGATTACAGGCTTGAGCCACTGTGCCCGGCCAACCTCAGGTTATTTTAAAGCAAGTCATAAGAATGTTTTTTTAATTTATAAATATTTCCTGAGCAGAATAATTTTAACTTTTAAAAATATAACCATGTTCTTAACTGAGTTCTTAATTGCCTATGTTAATTCCTTACACTTGCGTTTTACGACTCTGTTATTTTCGTAGCCGTGATCCTGGCATCCGTAGTCCTGATAGCATAATCTCCTTTTCCATTCTTCTGTGTACTTCTGGTTAGACATGAGATTTTATAAGTTTTAATGGGAGTGGTTGAGGTGTGGTAGGAATAGTGGTTATTGTTTTGTTTTACCTATTAAATTTAAGAACAGTTCATTATTTCTTGGAAACTAAAATAGTTGATAGTCATAAATCTGCTACAAAATTGTAAAGGAGAAAGACATTGGAATATTGTATGTATAGTAAAATATATTATTAAATGTAGTACAGAATATCTTATTCAGATTACTTTTGAATAACCAGAAGATAGCCTATTATACTGCTAGATGGATGGTTGACATGTTTTTTTGCATTAAAAAGTATGATTTTTACAGCATATGGAAAAGAAGGTGTGAAAATGAACTTCATAGATCGGATCTTTATTGGTGAATTAACTAGCACGGTCATGTGTGAAGAATGTGCAAATGTAGGTACTTTAGAATTCAATTCACATGGAATGGATTGCAATCACATCATTTTTATTATATTTTCTTTCACATATAATTGTTGGCAGTCATTTCTAAAATTTGTGACAGATGATTACATAATTCTTGAAAGTCTTTTTATACGCTATACTCCTAGAAAGTAAATGTGGTAATTTATATATTTTTAAAAGTGAATGTGTTTTGTGTTATTTTTCCTCATGACACACCTATGAGGCAGTTTTAGCTTATCTTAATATACTGAAATTCATTAGCTCTCTGTTTGAGAGAAAAACTTCTGTGAAGAGAGTAACTAACTGTGTTACATTGCAGTGCCCTAAAGTGTAATTCCAGACTGGGGGCAGTCGCTTATGCCTATAATCCCAGTACTTTGGGAGGCCAAGGCCAGCAGATCACTTGAGGTCAGGAATTCAAGACCAGCCTGGTCAACATGGTGAAACCCTGTCTCTACTTAAAAAAATACAAAACAATTAGCCAGGCATGGTGGTGGGAGCCTATAGTCCCAATGACTCAGGAGGCTGAGGCAAGAGAATCACTTGAACCCAGGAGGTGGGGTTGCAGTGAGCTGAGATTGCGCTACTGCACTACAGCCTGGGCAACAGAGCGAGACACAGCTTCAAAAAATAAAAGTAATTCCAATATAAATAATTTAATGTATTAACATAATTTAGGGTGGTTATATCACATTTGATTTTAAGTTTCTATGACGTATTAAAGATTTTTGTGTAGACTTCACTCACTTTGAATTTAATAATTTTTATTTTGAATGCCATCTTTAACAACTTAAAGCATGTATGAATTTTTTGTAGATTTTCAATTGCTTGGTAAGGAATATTTCTGTAAGTGTATGACTTAGAGTATGATAGGTTTAAATTTCTGTTAGATTTTAATAGTAAAAGGAGCCTTTATTCATTTTCCTGTCCCAGATTATGGAGTATTTTTCTGTGTTCTGTAGCCTTAAATAAGCAGGATTATAAATTGTATCTCATTCTAGCCTGTCACATTGAAACACAGAATGTATGACCATGATTATTTAAGTTTCTAGACTATTCAACACAGAAGTTGATTTCTCTCTCACAAGATAGAGAGTATCTTTTAAAACAGAATTATCTTAAAGAATCTATAAAACACAGCCAAGCTCTCTGCTTTTTTTCATGGCTTTTTCTTAACATTTCATAGTTTACTTATGTTACAGCCCTAAGCTCACCAAAAATGTCTAGTCTCTTTAATCTGTTTTATTAAACAGTTGATTTTGAAGTTATTTTAAATATTACAGGCCGTATTGACAGTAATATAAAGTTCAATTGGATCACGTTCAGTGATGTTTGAGAATATCTTGTTTCGATTAACAATGTGCTGCAATACCCAATTAAATCGCTATTTTTTTCAGGAACATGTTTTGATGTAAAATATTAGGTTGCCTAGGAAGTTACAAAACTATGTGTTTAGGTTAGAATTCTAACTGAAGTTTTCAATGTGTTTTCCTTTTAAGATCTCCACGGTGAAAGATCCGTTCATTGATATTTCACTTCCTATAATTGAAGAAAGGGTAAGGAGAAGAAAACTAATGATGAAGCTTTTGTGAAGAACATTTAATCATTTATTTAAACATTTGTTGAGTATATTACCAGATATCTGAGAGTCATTATTTTTTATATATAATTAAGTTTGTATTTGTAATTGAGTCTGATTTGGGGGTTTGTGTAAGTATGCATAAAGTATGATACGGTTTTTATTCTCAAGGAATTTAAACTCTTAAACACTTTTATTTTGAGAATTTAATTTTTTGTATTTCAAATCAGTTAAAAATTTTAAGATGAGGACATCCAGAATTTATTTGCTAAAGAGGTTTTGTGTTCTGTACGTGGCATTTACATAGGTTTCAAAACCTTTACTTTTGGGAAGAATGAATAAATATAGAAGTTTACGGGAGACAGCTCATGATCGATACAATGGCAATGTTACTGTAGAAAATATTCATCAACCTAGAGCTGCCAAGAAGCATTCTTCATCTAAAGATAAGGTAAGACCATGAGCATTTGTTAGATGTCTGTTTTTTAACAGTTTTTTAACAAAAGTTTCAAGCACATCTAAAAGTAGAGAATATAGTGTAATAAACTCTCATGTACCCATTTTTTTGGCTTCATAATTATCAACTTGGCTACTTGTACACTATATATATCCCACATCCTCCCTTTCCTCCCATCCCGGACTATTTTTGGATAATCCCAGATTATTTTTGAAATAAATCCCAAATATATCATATACTTCAATGTGTATCTCTAAAAGAGAGTTTTGTTTTGTTTCGTTTTAAGACGGAGTTTTGTTCTTGTTTCCTAGACTGGAGTGCAATGGCGTAATCTCGGCTCACTGCAACCTCCACCTCCTAGGTTCAAGCAGTTCTCCTGCCTCAGCCTCCTGAGTAGCTGGGATTGCAGGCATGTGCCACCATGCCTGGCTAATTTTGTATTTTTAGTAGAGACAGGGTTTCACCATGTTGGTCAGGCTAGTCTCGAACTCCTGACCTCAGGTGATCCGCCCGCCTCGGCCTCCCAAAGCGCTGGTATTACGGGAGTGAGCCACTGCGCCCAGCACTAACAGAGAGATACTCTTTTAAAAAACAAAAACCACAGTACCATTATCATATCAAAAATATTAATTCATTATAAGGAAATAAGGATTCAGTCATTATTTAAATTTCTGCAGTTGTCTCATAAGTACTCAGTTTTTTCTTTCGCTTTCTAAAGTTTGGATTTTAGGATTTAAAAGAGGTCTATAGATTGCAGTGTCTTTTTTTTTGAGATGGAATCTCGCTCTGTTGCCCAGGTGGTGTGATCTTGGCTCACTGCAACCTCTGCCTCCTGGGTTCAAGCAATTCTTCTGCCTCAGCCTCCTGAGTAGCTGGGAGTACAGGTGCATGTCACCACACCCAGCTAATTTCTGTATTTTTAGTAGAGACTGGGTTTCACCATGTTGGTCAGGCTGGTCTTGAACTCCTGACCTCGTGATCCACCCGCCTTGGCCTCCCAATGATTGCTGTGTCTCTTAAATCTCTTTTCATCTACAGGTTCCCTCTCCCTCTTTTTCCTCCTTTGCAGTTTATTTGCTGAAGAAATCAGGTCCTTTTTTTCAGCAGCATAGTGTTAACAGGTTCCTCTGTCACCTTTATTTCCCCTCTGAGACATTCAGATCTAGAGGCCTAGTTAGGTTCAGATTTAATTACTTATTTAATTTTTAGCAAGAAGACTTTTAGGTGGTGGCGTGTATACTTCCATCAACTAGATGCACACAATGTTTTATGTCTCTCTATGATATTACCAGTCATTGATAACCATTGTCTAGACCTATTATTTTACTAGGGACGTACCTGGTTGTTCAATTATCCCATGAAAATGGAAAATTATTCCATGAAATGGTGATCATTGATAACCATGTCTAGAGCTATTATTTCACTAGGGACATACCAGGCTGTTGTATTATCCCATAAAAATGGAAAGAAATCAATCTGAACTTATACTTTAGCACAGAAAAAACTTTTTTATATGAAATGATTTGTTTTAATTTGGCAAGCTGACATTAAATTTAACTTACTCTTTTTAAAATTTTATTTATTTATTTATTTATTTATTTATTTATTTATTTAAGACAGAGTCTCACACTGTTGCCCAACCAGGCTGGAGTTCAGTGGCACGATCTCAGCTCACTGCAGCCTCCCAGGTTCAAGTGATTCTCGTGTCTCAGCCTCCCGAGTAGCTGGGACTACATGTGCACACCACCATGCCCGGCTAATTTTTGTACTTTGTTGTAGAGGACAGGGTTTCATCATGTTGGCCGGGCTGGTCTCAAACTCCTGATGACCTCAAGTGATCTACCTGCTTTGGCCTCCCAAAGTGCTGGGATTACAGGTGTGAACCATGGCGCTAGGCCTCAATTTAACTTACTCTGTTAGAAGGCTTATGTTAGAAGTCACAAGACTTCAGAAAGGACAACATGTTTTCTTTAAATAAAAGCTAACCTTGCTTCATAAGATATATAGGACAGTTAAATTCAACTTGAGCATATGCTTTATTCTAATGGTATAAAACAAAAGCATCTTACGGAGTTTGAAAAGGTTAAAGCATTAATTGTGTTGCTATTCCCCTAAAAAGCACTGGTTATTAAAATATAAATGTGTAGTGATTTTTTTTTATTTTTGTTTAGTTTAAAGAGTTAGGAGATTCTGTGGTACTGGCCAAAGTAGTTTTAATACATTCACTATCCAAATGTATGAGAGAAATACTTCCCACACAATATTGGTTAGGAACTGAGAATATGCATATATGATATATAGAAACTGTCTATACCTCAAAGATCTGGACACCACATGGTTATAACTTGTGCTTCTGCTGAACAAATTGGACCTACTCTTTATTAAAAAATTTTTTCATATACTTTTTTTGTTACTTTTTTTATTGGACCTATTCTATATTGAACATTTTTTTTATGTAATAGAGTTACCTTTTTTTTGGTTTTGATGGGGAAAAGTGCAAGTTTGCATATGGTTCTAAAATTAGAAAAGTACAGTTCTAATAACATCTTTAAGGTACTGTATTCAAGAAGCGAAAATTTAAATGACATAAATGTATTTCAGCCATTAGGAAGTTTATGTTTAGAAGTTATTTCCAATAGTTCAACTACAGAACCAGTTTAATCATGGAACCAGAATGATTCAGTAGTTAACTAATTTCAGTACTAGTTTTATAAAGATCAATAAAGTCTTGTTTTGCTGATTAGTAAAGCTATTAATAATATAAAGATATTTTTGACAAACTTTTCTTTATAGTACTCTTTAATCTCTTACAGTAATAGAAGCGCCTCACATCTTTTAAAATTATACTGGAGGTACAAGTACTGATTAGATCATAAGTTTTTGAGTTCTTCACCTTTTTTCTTTGCCAAATTATATTAGTTATCTAAAATCACACAAAAACTTAATATGAAGAATGATAAAATAATTACATAAAAATAATAGTGAAATTAGCTGAGAAAATCTTGCCCTCAAGTCGGAAGATGTTATCTTTGAGTACCTTGAAAAAGTAGTGCATTTTCTTTCTTTCTTTTTTTTTTTTTATTTGAGACGGAGTCTCCCTCTGTCGCCCAGGCTGGAGTGCAGTGGCCGGATCTCACCTCACTGCAAGCTCCTCCTCCCGAGTTTATGCCATTCTCCTGCCTCAGCCTCCCGAGTAGCTGGAACTACAGGCACCCGCCACCACGCCCGGCTAGTTTTTTGTATTTTTTAGTAGAGATGGGGTTTCACCGTGTTAGCCAGGATGGTCTTGATCTCCTGACCTCGTGATCCACCCGTCTTGGCCTCCCAAAGTGCTGGGATTATAGGCTTGAGCCACCGCGCCTGGCTGAAAAAGTGCATTTTCTTTTGCTTGCTGATAACAGGCAAATAATCCAGTTAAATAAAACACTATAAAAAGAATATGTCAAATTCTGGCCTAAATACAGAAAAAATAGTAACAGGAGGCAGATACATAAACACAGTAAATAGCCATAGGCACATATAGACGTCCTTTTTAAACCAAAATCTAAGGTAAAATGAGCTGCAACAAATGGCTACCAAAAGATACTATGTGAAGTCTATTCCGCAGGCTATTTTTCTTCCCTTCTTTCCCCTCCCTACAGCTTTTTAAAAAACCATCATGCTGATTGAATAATTGTAGGGACTGGGCAATCTCAAATTGATATCCTTATTTAAAATCCTGCCTCAGCTCATTAGTTCAGAAAGAAATCCAAAAGTTCAATTCTCTGAGCCGCTTCAACACATGAGTATATTAGTTTTATGAAATTTTTTTTTTTATTTCATAAAACTTTAATACTTCTGCCAGAATCAGAAGTGCACTGTGCTCTGGTGCAATTTACATAAACCTTGGTTCCCACCACCTGTTAGCTGCGCAGCCTTTTGCCAATTAAACTCTTTGAGGCTCAGCTCTTGCATTTAATTATAAGACCAGAATCTTGCTGGTTTTTTTCTGTTTATCCCATCTGTTCTTTATTTCTGTTTCTACTTTTCATGCACTTTTGGTTTTAATTGAATAATTTTTGTGTTCCATCTTATTTCCTCTGTTTTCTTTTTAGTTATTATAAAAGATGTTATTATGGAATTGCTGAAACGTGTGTTGTGCTTCTCATCATTGGGGTTATATTCAGAAAATCACAGTCCTCTTATTTACATGGAAGAAATTAGGAAAATTTCAATCTTTGTTCTTTTACCAATCAGACCAGTCACCAAAAGAATACTGGTGTAGTTACAGTATCTATCAATATACTTAAAAATAGGTTTGAGGAAAACCCTGTATTCAAAGGGATCTTACCTGATTTTACCATTTTTCCTAGGTGCTAAATTGCTCAAGGTATTATACAGAAGTATCTGAGAAAATGGCAACTTAACCTATGTAAATTTTTTTAAGGATTAAATTGAATAGATACTTAGTAGTTTTAAAGTCCAAGTAAAACAGTTGCAAGGATGTTTTTGTTTATCGTGTGGTGTTGGCTCAATTTACTATTGGGAATTTTGGAAACAGAGAAGGTCATATATTTCCCCTTTGATCATTTTCATTTCTTATATTTTTAAAGTTTAAAAGTGGGCTTTTCCCCTCTACTTAGTGTCTGTAACAAAAAGAGAAGCTCCTTGCATCTTTTAATAATAGAGGTACAAGTACTGATTTGATAGTAAATTGAGTTTTTCACTTCTTCTCTTTGCTAAATTATACTTCTGTTATCTCATTAAAACTGAACAAAGTTTAATATGAAGGATGATAAAGAAGCATCAGGTGAGGAAAAAAGGAGAATTAAAACCAAGATATAGTAATGTGAATACAAATGAAAGTTAGCACTGGTGGAAAGGCAAAAGATCTAGACTGAATATTTTAGAAAGTTTAAAAACTAGTGAAAGGAAACCATGAATAGATATTTTTTATTGGAAAATTATGTGAGGCAAAAAAAGCACTACCCAAAGGCCTGAGAGAAAAGATAGGG